GTGCCACGCCTGAGGGGGTGGAGTCGAGTCTATCGTCAGTCATCTCCCGTGGCGGCACGACTCACGCGAAGCCCGGGTGGTCCTTCAGCCTCTCAATCACCCAACCCGCATGGATCTCAGCCTAGGGTAAGCAATGACTTGAGCTGTACTACCTCACCTGGTTCAATCGACCCAGGTCGACTTGACTGCTATATGCGGTCAAGAAGTCGTGGACCTTCCGATCGTTCCCGGTCCGAGCATTCATCGTAGACTGAAGATCCGACACAACTCGCGTTAAGAGTGGAGGGAGAATCGTTCGACTGGGAGAAAGTCGAGATGAAGCGTTTTGAGAAACGTTCAGTTCGTGTCGTGTCAAGAGCATGGGGAGGTCGGCGGGGAGCTATAGAGATGTGTGAGAAGTGTGGAAGATTGATGAGAAGGTTGGATATATATACCTGTTGGAGAGTTGACCTCACTTAGTGGCGGCGAACCTCGCCCTCATGAGACAGAAGGAAGCGCTGCAAAGGAGGGTCGTGGCAAAGGAGGGTCACGGCAAAGGAGGGTCGTGGCGAAGGTGGTCGTGGCAAAGGAGGGTCGGGCCAAGGAGGGTCGCGGCAAAGACCGTCATGAGACGGAAGGAAGCGCGGCAACGGAGTGTCGTGGCAAAGGAGGGTCACGGAAAAGGAAGGATCGTGGCAAAGGAAGGGTCGTGGCAAAGGAAGGGTCGTGCCAAAGGGAGGACGGGGGGCATGCTTCGTCACCTACCTTTGACTTCTTCCCCTCTCCCCATAACGCGTTCATCGTCCACAACGTTGCGACTCGAACAGTGAGTGAGTGGGCTGTAATGCGGGGGCTCGGACACACCACAGAGATTACATGAACGACTGACTGCCAGCGTCTAAATCATCGACATGCCTGACTCCCCGTCCCCGGCCGAAAGACTCGAAGAACTCAGGAAATTCAATGAAGAAGTGGTATGTAACGCTAAGATTGATTGTCGATTAATCTCGGCGCTCACAATGACCAGAAGCAGCGTGCCAGTGAGGAGACCGAGGTAGAGGTGAAATCTGTGTGTCTCTCACGGCCCAGTTGGTCATCAAGAACCACAGAGACATGCTCCAAGCCCTCAAAGGCGCTCCCGACTGTCCTGAAGTCAGGCAAGCCATAGAAGATGTCCGTATCGATAAATGACAAACGGGAGCTCACACTCCAGGTGATCCAAGCTCAAGCGGAGCGTCTCAGGTGCGCGAAGTTCGGAGCGTTCTATGCAAACTACGCCTATGAAGAACTATACTATTCACGTGTACATGGCATTTCTACTCGATCTGGTCATTGCCCAACATCCCACCCCTCAGTTGCCCGTTATACCAGGCCAAGAAGTATGTGATAAGAATGTGAACTCATTAGTCAAGTTTCGCGACCCAGAGTACGGCACACTTTAGGCAAGATACGCGGTACAATTGCGCACACAAATCACCACCCGACCGAAAATGCGACATCGTACCCACTGAATGCATCTCTGTTGCTCATTACCAATTGATCTCAATCATCGACAGGGCTCCACACCACAAGGTTCTGCTCTCTCCTGCTCCTCCATTTGACTGGGTTCCCCCGGGGCAGACAGTACCCCCGAAATTTGGCATCTGGATCGACGGCTTCCAAAGCCCGGCGCATAATTGCTGTTCTCATTCGTATATTTCGGTAAATGGTTGAGATCGGAGTCCCGGGGGGAAAGATCGTGCGGAATTTCTCTTGGTAAAGCCGAGCGGCCTCCTTGTTTTGCTCTGTACTTGAGTTGTCGTCTCGGAAAAGGCAAAGGCATTCACCGTCCTCTACAAATGCCATGTTCCAAAGGGGTAGCACGTAGCGGACTTGCTCAAAATCCATCAACATGCGGATCAGCCTTCGGGCATTTTGTATCGATAACGGGGATTGGTGCACAAAAGCACCGTCGATATCCCAGCTGTTGCTATTAAGCCCGATGAGCGTCTGTGGCGCTCCAGCGGCTGGTGTCGAGGAGGGGTGTAGCTATATGTCAGCCTACAGTTTACAAGCAGACTCACCGCCTCTTGGACGATAGAAGACGTAGAGGACTCCCAGCTTTTGGTGATCAAGATGGCGATACTCTCCACCGCATACACGGCACCCGAGGGAACTGGGAGATCGTGGAATACCTTTTCGTCCGGATCGATCCAAAAGAGAGCATACTTGCGGAGGATGCCCTCGTCAAATGATTCGGGTCGATGTGCTGTTGTCACCATGAGTGTGGATAGAGTCCCATACTCGGACGCACCTTGAACTCTGCCCATTTTGCCGAGTGGTCCCCATGTGGTACGATGATAGTAACTAGTCCGGGACGCTAGTCCCAGGGCGTATGACATCCCAATGATGCCGAGACGCTGACCCTTTGTCAGTACAATATCATCCACCGTAAGACGAGACTTACACCAGCCGGCGACACAAGGTACACTCCGGGGTGGGGCACGTCTTCAGCCCTAATGGGAGAATCCCCTTTGTCGATACCAATGAGTTCTTGAAACGATATGTTGACTCGCCTTGCTGCAGCGCTAACGCATGAGTTGCTTTGATGTGATTGCACCCACCTAGCGATTGCGGGGCCGAGTGGTCCTGGACCCATGGCAATGAAGGCGAGCAACGAAACCAGATGCGGTACTTTACGTCCATCCTTCGCACGAGAGTGGTGGCTCATGATACATGGTGGAAAGGAAGTCACCGCGCCAGGGGATTTCAACGCTACTCCAAGGTCGCCAGCTCCGGCCCTGCCATTGGTTTTCGTTTTCGTGATCATGAAGAGGCCTTACTCAAACCCGGGATGCTCGCTTAACTTTTCAAGTGTCCATTCCAACTGCTTCTCGGCCTGGAAGTCAGCCGGATGCTGTCGGAATGATCGCCAGTCTGATAGGTCGAGTGGCATACCATCAAAGCCAATTTGGCTCCATATGTCACCTTTGACTCACCTTTTCTATCAAGTCTAAGGGTAGGCGTGATGCAAGGCCGGAGAAAAATTCGTGGACTCGCTGATCGATTATCTCGGCCCTTTGCACTCTGTGTATCCGGGCGGTGTCTCCAGTGAAGAGGGCAGTGAAAGGGGAGGAGTAGGTGCCATCGACTGGTGTGGACAAGGCTGGGGCGGTCAAAGTCGATAACTGTTTGAGCCTAGTATCTTCTTCGTCGACCGGCACGTCTTCCTCTAGACACCACTTGACCTCTGCCTCGCCATCGTCTTCATCGTCTCATTCTTCTCCATCGTCTCCTTCTTCTCCATCTCCTCCAGCTTCTCCATCTCCTCCAGCTTCTCCATCGTGTTCTCCTCCATACGCCCTGGATCTCGAGCCAGCGCTCTCCCCCACAGTCGACGGCGAGAGATGATCGGTGGAGAAGGGTTGAAACCAAGGCGGATACTCTTGAGCATATGGGGGGATAAGAGTTTGTGGGGGCCGGATCGCAGGAAGACCTATGACAGCCCGCATTGAGGCCGCCCGGTCCGCGAGATAAGAAGGGCGAGTAGGGATCTCGGTAGCCAGCGCCAAAAGCCTCTGTACCCCCTCTCTGTCAGCACCAGGGGGCTCGTTGCGGATTTGGTTTGCGGAGGAGGAGACGAGAGGTGCCAGAGGGTTCTGGGATGAGCTCCCAGTGGAATTGGATCCGGTTGATGGCTGACGAGATTCGGCCATGACTGATAGAGGGGGAGAGGACGGCAGTGGGTCTGGTGCGAGGGACACAAATGAGATTGTGGGAGACGTTTGATTATGGCTGAAGGTGAAAGCACGCGTATCGGTCGTAGCGAGGGAGGGGATAATATGGAGAACCGAGAAATATGGCCAATTGGAAGAGCAGTCAAGTGTGAGAAACCTTTGACGACGCTCGACTGGGGTGCGGGGATGGATGATCGGCCCACATGAAACAATACGACGGGGAAAGGTACACGGATTGGCCACTCGCTCGATCATTCGTTTCATCTCTTCATTGCAGCCTCCCCTCATACTCTAGCCCTTCTCGCAACTCTCCTTCCCATACCTGTGTGCCACGCTAAAGGACCTTGAGCCGGGGTGAGTGAAGCGGTGATGTCTCTTTGGATTCAAGAGAAAGCGTCGGGAGTTAAAGATGACCAGAACATTGAAAGAATCAATATGGCGACACCTCCTACCCCAAAGGATATACTCGTTGAGCGCGAGAAATTCATGAAGGAGACTGTGGGTGGTCTGCCCATCTACTCCGACTAGAATCCAGAGCTCACAGTCACAAGAAGGAGCGAACGAAAGATGAGTTTGAGGTACGGGCGAGATCTTTCTGCCGGTAACAGGGTAGTCGGCGTGCAAAAGCCTTCAAGACCTTCTCGAAGCCGTCGACAAAACCTGCGACACCCCCCAGGTGCGACGAGCATTCGAAACGGTCCGTGGCGGGAGAGGATGAGTATGAGTGTGACCAACGACACAGGCAATCGACGACTTGAGCGACCGATTCATGTTCTGTCACCTGGCCAACCTTCAAGCTGAGCGTGCTTACAATGAAGCGTGAGTGCTTACTAAACCCCGGAACTGATCATAGTAAGAAGGACCTCAAGGGGAAAAAGAGGGAAAGCGACGGGTCGGAGGGAAGTGTGCCGAAGAAGTCGAAAGAGTAGGCTGTGAGCCAAGAGACAGGTGCACGATAGCGACATGGCGCTGGATGAGAAGAGTAGCAGACCTGGTGGTGTGTACATAAGGGGAGAATGCGATCGTCTGTGCATGATAAACGAGGCGTTATGGCTCTGTGGAGACACGATAAGTCATTCCCGTTTCGAACATGAGTATGAGGCCCGTCAAAGGGTCTCCGGCGAAAACCGAAACAAGAAGAAACGGATCAAGAGACGATTTGCTATAGAGTACTAGGAGTCTTCCGCTTGCATCGGAGGTACGCGTCGATGGGGTCGGCGGCGGGTGTGGGTAAGCAAAAAGACGAGCCTTGGGCGGAGTCGAATGGAGGCCGGACGAGAGGGGACAAAAAAAAAAAAAAAAAGAAACCGATGACGGGGGTCGAACCCGCAACCTCATCCTTTCTCGCAAACCAAAGTACGGCTTACTATAGGAAAGATACGCGCTACCATTGCGCCACAACGGCTCGGTCTTCTTCAGGGTGGACGTTTCCCTTATAAGGCCGCAGAGGCATCGCTCGGGTCGGTGAAAGCTGACTGTGAATGACTCTTGACTCTGGCTGACTCTGGATCACTCGGTCCCTTATAAGGCTGGACGATTCGAGTCGTCCTTCGCCTACTCGCAGAGGAATCGCTCGGTCGGTCAGGGATGACTCTTCTTCGCCTCTCAGAGCCGCCAGCTGCCACGGCCGTCACGCAGATCCATCCCCTGCTCTCACTTCTCGTTGTACATTCAGCCATGCCGCAAGACTACCTTAAACCGTTGCGCAAGACTACCGAACTCATACAAGGCTGAAGACTACCGAACCTTTACGAGGCTGAAGGATTCCTCCAGACTACGGCACCTGACTTCTGTTTGGGCGCCTTGCCCCTGACTTTTCCTCTCCGATCCCCGCCCTCGCAGGTTTGAGTCGCCCCCTTTGTCGAGGTTGACTACGCATTCCTCGAATCACGTGGAATCGACTTGAGTAGATGCATTCGAACTGTGTTCTTAACTCTCCTTCCAGTCGCCTCGGTGTCTTTTCTACATGCTATATCACTCAACAACCTTCACATACTTCCCGCAAACTTCCTGTCCACCAATTTCCATATGGTCTGAGCGTCAGCAACGCCCCACACTCGGCCATACCGCCTTGACAATCGCGCGGTGAGTTCTGCAGCGATCTTCGTCATTTTGAGTGTTCATGTTGTCCGCTGTCTGAGTCGGAACTTGTGCCGCGTACGTAGTGAGATCGTCGTATGTGTCAAGGCTCTGCGCATCAGCGAGATCGGATGCAGAATGCCACGAGTAACCCTATTAGGCAAAACCGAGTCTCCAGCATCCATTTGCTGCCACATTTCCGTGGTCGGAGTGCTTTCGATGTGACTGCTGGTTGTCGGCGATGCGTTTCCGTCGACCTCTCTGGCGAAGTGGATCCTCAACACCTCGAACACGTCCAGTGGCAAGTCCATGGCTGACCACCATCGGGGGCAAAGGAGCTGCAATTGCTGAAGCCCATTGGTAACGCCGTCAATCGCACGCTTGCGGAAGAGCCGGGCAGAGACTCCGCCCTTACTGACAAAGAACCCGTGTGCCGTCAATATATTGGCAATTGCACGAGATCGCTCAATAGCGACAGAATTGGCTTGCCGGTAAGATAGCTCAATGTGCAGTCTGTCACATCAGCTGAAGCAAAATGAGCTCCGACGCCATCTTACTCACTTGCAAGCAAACATCTCGGCGTCGGCAGTCCAATTTGACCGAGTATGGTCCCGGTCTGACTCGCTCGCCCATGCTCGAACTCCTATCACAAATTGATTACGGTTTTCTGATGTGTAAACTGGGGAGTACAGTTCGCCTGAAGAATTAGTTATATGGCCCAGCGATGCCGACTGATTCCTACAGAGAAGATTCCAGGGTATCTTTCGTCCGTCCGCAGTATCTTCTGACACGATCATCTGGATCATAGTATTCATGTCCGTAGCGGGATCCTAGGGTCAAAACACATAAAAGACCGCTGACTGACGACCCCGGGTAATTTGAGAAACGCCGTCAGGAGCCTGTCCCGGTGCGTGGCTTCGTTAAACAATCTCAAAGATTTGTCGTTATAGCCGTCGGCGCTGGGTGAAGCGACGACAGCCAGTCGGGATCCGGGACTCCACCCGGAGCAGTGCCTCTTCACGCAGTCCAAAATATAGCCTTTTTCGAGCGAAAATCGTCTGCGTTCCTTCTTGTCCTCTCCTAGTGGGAACCAGAGCCTCTTAGTGCGGACACCTCGGACTTAGCTGAGCCAACATGAAGAGGGATGTACCAATGACAGTAACCAGCACGTCTCTCGCAAGCGAGGTCTTCCAACAGGGGCCGAATGAACCTTTTTGTTTGGTCGCGAATAGATACTCGCCGATTTCATGGTCTTCCATCGGTGGTAGCATCTGGGTTTCAGCTATAGACCTCGCCCCCTGAGCTCCCACTTGCGCTTTGCCATGATTACTGACCTCTTTCCAGACCGAGATCACATGATCCACTATAAGGATTTCCTTCTCTTCGAATTGCCATTTGTTCTTGGGGCTAGCGGGTGCTGCAGCGTTGGCCTTCACCCGGCCGGACGCTGGTAACTCACACCTCAAGCTCTCCGCTGTCATCTTGCTACCGTAGGTCAGGTCCCCACCACATGACTCTCGGTCAAGACTCACGAAGACGTTTTGCTTTCAACAACAGCCACCGAGGGATAATGGTCACAGAGAAGGGTCGACAGGAATCCCCGTTTCGCGTCGCTATGTTCCGGAAATCTTATATCTGGGTATGAGCAAGGGTGCTGACTTTGAACTTACGCAGCAGACCTAGGAGGAGGTCTGTCAGAGGATGATGGACCTTGGCAGGTCTGCTCCGTTGTTCCTCACAGAACGCGGCTACCCAGATGGGATCGACACCCATTCGCTCTATCACCATGTGATCGATGAACGAGATAGCCAAAGCCGAAGTACGGAGCTTGGTAAGTTCCTTGTCCTTCGCTAGGAGCTTGATGAAATGAGGATTGCCCAACTTGTTTTCAGCGGTATCAGAGCCGTATACAAAGCTCTTCCTCATCCTCTCTGTCAGCATGACATTATGAGCAGACACACTTATCCCACGTCCACTCCCAATCAGCCTGCCATCAACCACATGTCCTCACCCAGACATCCTAGTGTATCTCAAAGTCCCAAAGGAAGGTGACTCACGCCATACCCTGCCTCCTCCCTTTTCTTCTTCTTCTCCTCGCTCATCGTGTTCAGATGGGAGGGCATGATGGAGGTGGGTTTGTCGCAGAGTATGACTGAGGGTGGAATGATTGAAAGTAGAATGACTGAGAGTAGATTGTAGAGGAAGAAGGTGACTCGGGGTTGACGGAGCAAGGAGGAAAACGGGGTCCCCCGCACAGACCCTCCGCCGGTTGACTCACCTTTTCCCCCGACTGATACGCTGCCTCCTACTCTCACTCTCCCCAACCTCACCCCCAACCTCACCTTCACCCTCACACCTCATACGCAGGGAAGATTCCTCAGTGCCCTTACACATGAGTTCTAGAGACATTCATACGGGGAAAGCCCGTCTCGCCACCGGGTGACCTGACGGGGCGATGCGCGTTCGCTCTCTCCCTCTGTGTATCCTCCCCCTTCCCAGCGCGTTTGCTGTACAGACCGTCCCTCGGCGCGATTGCCGACCCCTTGCACATGAGTTCCAGAGACATTCATACGGATACAGCCGCTCTCGCCACCGAGTGACCTACGATACACGTGAGCGCTGCGTTCGCTCTCTCTCTCTGTACATTTTTCCCCCTTTGCAGCAAGTTCACTATGCGGCTACCCCCCTGTCCCAACACGTTTTGCTGTGCAAACCTGACCCACAGGTGCATTCTCTCATACCGCTACACACTTGAACGTCCTCCACACCTTCCACGCGGTGATTCTCATCCCGAGGCCGACGGCAACAATCACGCAGAGGTCAAAGACCAAGAGGGTGACGCCTGCGAGCATGAACCTCGGGGCAAACACCTTCCAGACCATGAGGTGGCGGCGGAGATGTGCGGCAAAGATGGCGGAAGCGAGGGTGGTGGTGGTGTGGTAGATGATGCCGGCGATGGCGACTTGCAAGGTGTGGGCGAGGAGGGGGATGGTGTTTTGCGGTCGCGGCGAAATGTTCCACAGCGCGACCAGGGGCAGGGCAAAGGCTGAAAGGGCAAAAGCCCCCCAGGTGTTGACGGCGACGAGGAGCGGGGAGAAGGGGTAGGTGACGGTGGCGAGTCCGACAAACGCTGCCTTCCACTGGATCGTGGCGAGGACTGCCTGATGGCCAGTGGCGAAAAAGCCGAGGTGGCCGAGGAGGACCAAGGGGACGGCGTCGGTGAATGTGGGTCGGACGATGGAGCCGCTGGCCCCGCCGTCAAACGCCCCGGCGTTGGGCGACGACGCAAAGGAGCGTTTGAGCAGGATCGCATCGCGGTGGGTGTCGACGAGGTCGATGTGGACGAGGACCAGGAGCATGATCCCGGCGAGGGCGACCTGGGCCATGGGCTGGGAGACGAGGTGGACGGCCGCAAAGGGGACGAGGAGGAAGAGGATATAGGTCGATCCGTAAGCGTTGGCAAAGCCAAAGACGGTGACGGCGGATTGATCGCCTGTCTGATCGGGATCCCGCTCGACCTTGATGCATAAGGAACCGGTGAACCAGTGGTAAGGCAAGACGACGAGGATGCCTCCGAGGGCGACGCGGGCGAGCCAGAGGCGGGCGAGCTGGACAAAGGGGATGGCTTGCGGTTGCATGCCGTCCCAGGACTCGGTCCATTCCAAGACCCAATACACGGCGTTGAGCAAGAGGGAGATTCGCCAGGTGGTGCCGAGTATACCGGGCGCTGGCCCGGCCAAGGATTTCGACGCGTTGAGGGTGATGCCGATCGCGCGCGGAAGGTGCAGGGCGATGAGGACGATCCCGACGAGGGCGTATTTGGAGGCCGTCGGCGTGGAGCCAGAGTAGAAGGTGACGCGGCAGTAGGGCTGTTGTTCCTCGCGGCACACGGTGATGAGGCCGATCAGCCGAGACAGGGCCATGAGGGCGGATGATCCGAGGATGATTCTAAGCCGCATCGATGCGGTCGGCGCGGTGAGCGCCTTGACGAGGTAGACTGACGCGACCGTGCTGAAGAGGTAGCCTACGACCCGGTCCTCCCACATGATAAAGCTGTTGCTGGCAAAGGATACCGCGTGCACGACGAGGACAAACGGCCCGATGAATCGGGTCAGATCCCATGCAGCGGGGTTCGGTCGGGAGAGCTGGAAGATCAAGGGGAGGGAGACGACCACCTCGGACGCGAGGACCGCGGCGACGATCGGCGCTTTGAGCAACAAGCTTGGGGCGGAGAATGCAGCGACCACCGCGGTGAGAGCCGCGGCCACGGCGGACGGCACGACGGCAGTGTCCAGAGCCAGGCGAACAAACACGTCCCAGTTTGGT